CTCTCTCTCTCTCTCTCTCTCTCTCTATTTAAAAACATTTTCCCAACTTTTTAACAAATAAATTGTTTTTGTTTGAGTTTTTAAAATAGCAACTATTCCATCAAAAAATATAGTCTAACCTCTCTATAATAAACAATAGAGTATATTCATTAAATAATTACGATAGATTTACATACATCTATTTATAAAAATTGCAATTAATTAAAAATAATGTAAAAACTAACATGTATCAAATTAATTAATATACAATAATCCCATAGATTCATAATTACATAGATTTATATTTAAGTTTACTGTATATAATAAATGTGTTAAATCTCTCAAGGATTGTGCGTAGGCCTACATTATATACTCTATGCAAACTAGTCTACACAAAAAGATACATGTGCAATCTTTGCAATATTTTGTAATACTATCGCGCATTGTCTCATTAATGATGGATAATTTATTATACATATGAATATTATATATACAGAATATGTTGGTATATATAGTATTCATTGAATATAATCTATGGCCAAAAACATGTGCCACTATTTATCCGGCGCTCCGCACGAAAAACACACGAAAAAAATGTTTGTTATTTTAAACACCAGAATATTTGCTCCAAATTCTGTCACAGAATTTATAACTAAATAACTTGTGTTTAAAGTGAAAGCAAACAACAAAATAGTTATTTTCAATTTCTACCAAAAACCTTCTCGACACATATTTTATTATTACAATAAAGTGTATTTTAAAATACATAGTAGTATTTTGTGGCATATTTTTTAACTACACCCTATTTATTCACTTCTCAAAAAATATATCAATAATCATAAATCATTTGCCTGTTTATTTAAAGACAAAATAGTGTTGGGTTAATTTTGTATAAGTCTGTGTGTAACACATCTATGTTAAAATATATCTATGATTGCCATCATTTTAACGGTTGAGTTACTTGTAAATAACACATACAGTTTGTTATACAGTAATCTAGTTGACACTGCAAATAATCTAGTTCATTTGCATAATTAATAAATAATAACAACTACAAATTATATCGCCATTGCTAACGGTGTGTCTATTACCAGCAAAACTACATGTTACATTAAATTACAAAAAGCAAAGTGTTTAATTAATTTGTAATAAAATCACAAATTGTGAAATAATTTCAAAACATAACTTTTTTACCACAATCTAAATACTATGTCAGAAGTGGACGCTTCCCAGATCAAGGTGTCGGGCCCGGGCCTGGCAGAGGGCACACCCGGTAAACGGTGTGTACTATGTTTTGCCGGCGCCCCCATCGGCGACCTGGAGAAAGGTCTGACCACTTCGGTCGACGGCCCACAAAAGTCGGAGATTATATTTGATTTTGAGAAAGAGAACCAGGATGGTAATGTGGAGGGTTATTATGTGCCGATTCTGCCTGGTGATTATAAGATTACCATCAGATATAATGGCAGACAAGTGCCCGGCAGTCCCTTCCGGCCCAAGATTACTGGGCCCGCAGTTTCGGCCGAAAAGCTTATATCTAAGGTTTGTTTAATTTTGTTTGTAATAATCAGTTTTTAATTAGTTTTAGTAATGTAATTAGTTTGTTTTAAACATGTTGAAATGTATTTATTTTCATTTGTAATTAAAATACAAATAGTTAAATAGTTATTTAACAGTTTAAAAAATAAAATGTCTTATTCTATTCAATATTAAACTATTTGTCAGGAATTTGTTGTGAAATGTTTTATTTTTACAAAAATAATTAAATATAAAAAATTAACTAAAATTAATATGTTTTACAAATGAAAAGCTGAGAAATTATACAGTAATGAGTGTTTATATTAAGACATTTTGTTGGATTAAAATCAAGAATTTTTGATATGAAACAAAATCTGGTGACAAAAATCTGATTGAAACTCATTATTAGAGATGTTTTTGCGAAAAGTCAGCGCAAAAATCGTTACACTAATTATTTAATGTATTTATTTTCATACGAAACCAATTATGATGTGATGTGCAGTGCATTTGACTACAGAAATAAACAATACATTAATCTAGATTTGTTTAATGCTGATAGAATAGATGATTGTGATAAAATTCATTTGTGTACATTAACCTAAAAATTTTTCAATTATATTTTTGTGTCGGTACAATAACCATGAATAATTAAATTTAAGTTTATTAAAATATAATTTAGCTAGATACGATGTATAAATAGTAATGTTTAGCATACTTATTGATTTTATAGACAAACATGTTTGTTTTCCGGTGAGCATAAGCTTTATATAAACATGAGTAATACAAACAATTTATAAATAAATTGAAATTTTGATTAAAATAAACAATACAGCAATTGATAAAAACATTTTAATCATAACATGGGTATAAATATTGATATTTTAAAACTTTAAATTTAGCATCACGATAATATTTTGAAGAAACCTTTCACAAAAACAATTTTTAATATAAATCGACTATCATGATAAAAAATACTTTTACTTTAAAATTTTATGTTAAAATTAATAAATAAACATATAAATTTAAGCTACTACATTAATTGTTACATTAGCTAATAATAATAAAAATTTGTAATCTAAATAATAATCTAATTGATTGTCTAATTTTACCCTAACATCCAGGTGTCAATCCACGGCCGGGCGTCTGAATTGGGTAAAGCATTTGCAGTGAACGAGTTTGTTATCGATTGCAGTCGCGTTAAGCCAGTCATAGGTAGCCTAAAAGTGCACGTGAAAGGCCCGGAGCGATCATCGGCTCAACTAAACTTGGTGGACAATAAAAACGGCACATTCCGGGTGTTGTACAAACCCACCGGATCAGGCATGTACGAAATGGACATCAAAATTGCCGAGGCACACATACCCGGTTCACCTCTCAAAATACGTGTCACTGAATTTTTGTCGAGTTAAACTTAAATAACTATGGGCATTGTTTATTTTTATTATGGCACCACATATGGAGTAATTTCTATTTGAAATTAAGTTTAATATATTGTTATTGTTAATTTGATTAATAATTACAATGAACCTGTTAATATTTATTTGTGTTAATTAATGTTTTATTAAAACTTGGAAATAAATAAAGTAATATTTTTCCAATATAAATTATTTCATATATTAAATGTTGTTTTTAATGTGAAATATTTTTGTATAAAGTGTTGGAATTGTTTGAATTTTACCATATTATTTATTAACCCATAAGTGATACTAATTGTATTCTTTTTAAATAAGTATTTAATTATAAAACAATATGGTATTAATTATTGCAAAGCAGATTTTTACCATAGCTAAACACAAACATTTAATACTAATAATAAAATATTGTATGAAATCACAATTTGTTTTAATGTGTATTGATTAATAAAAGCATTGATTATTAAAACTCATATTTTTACATCATTTAGGTAAACTAATGTTTTGAAATCAGTTGGAGAGAGTGAGTGAGTGAGTGAGTGAGAGAGAGAGAGA